ATTCCGCTGTCTTCTCATAGCCTGTACAGAATTTAAAAGAGTTTTGTTTACAACACGATAACTTAAACCAATCATATGATGTTGGACGACTGCCCCCCCTCCCCAACCTGCATAGTCCAGCCATTTTGGTTGGCAACGTCCCAGTATAACCAAATACCGCAATTTTTCTCGCGTTTTCCGGTCGTTTTCGCCTTATTTTCACCATCAAAACCTTCTGGGTGTAACTAAACAAAGTGTGTAGATATCGGAGGTCATGTTGGTGGTGTGATTTTACGGTCTTTGGAGCTGATCTGTTCGTTAAAAACGCGTAAATTTGTCGCATGTGTTGCTCGCTCAACATACAAGTCGGGCCGGGCGCCATTTTTGAAGTGAAGTGATCGGAAGACAGACGAAAAAAATTACGTCGTCTGCCGACGATTTCTGGAGTGTAACTAACCTAGATGTATAGCAACAAACACAGTCGTGACATCAGGATCATTTTAATCATATCTATGGACAGGAAATCGGACGATTTCGGCAGCAAACCACGAAAGATGTGCGGGGAATTGAATGATAGGTTGTCTCCAAGCCAAAACACGGCGTCATGACTGTCTGGACATTTCTCCCTCGACAACAACGACCCATTTCAGGCTAAGATCTACCACTTACCTCAGCATCACGGCCTTTATGCTTGTAACTTCTGATCCTGTTGTTCAAGAAGTCGGCATAGCTTTCTCCAGACGACATTTTTGGGGAAATCTGAGGGAAATCCTCCCGTTCTCGAGTCTCAACCCAGAAATCCAAAATGCCGGCCAACTTTGACGTCACTGAAACAGCCGAGCGGAAATAGTACAAGGCCTCTTATTAGTCAGTGCTGACCCACCCTGATTCTAAACGATTCCTGTAAAAATCTTTGGTAAACCCATTTGGCCTGTTTCAGACAAAGAATAAATAGGAAATCGCTTACTAAGATATACGCACCTATTTCTATTATGAAGAATAAAAACGTAGTGAAGAGGTAATCCTCGAAAAATCGACCAACCAGGACTACCCTTTCATTCTTCGCACGTTCTTGCTGACTCAACTGGCCGCAGAGCATGCCGGGACAGTTTTCCCGCGAAAGTCACACTGACTCAGGCGGAAGTGATATGACATATTATGTTATGCCCAAAACAGTTTTGCGGAACCACGTAAGGGCCATGCTGTAAAGGCCACACGGACGGAACGTGTGATAGAACAAACATGACAGATTTCAACATCACTGACCTTCATGGAACTGTGTTTGCGCCACCGGAATATAAATGTAAAGTTACATGATGCATACATAGACAAAACCGCAAGGTGCCGCTTAGCGATTGCGTCATCAGCCCCACCCAAAGCGTCCAGCTTTCCTGTCCCCTTCATGGTCAGGTGTCTATGATATTAAAGGTTTTAAACTACTAGTGTACTTCAAAATTCTCTACCTGGTTAAAAAAAAAGGGTCCCATTCCACTCTGTGCAGAGAATAGGGGTGGTGCCAATCTCCAATTCTGTAGCCCTTGGGCCACACAGTTGTGCAATCACTACAGCAGGGGGCTAGCCTGCTGGTAGTGGTGTGTGTCCGATCTTCCCTTACTCTTTCTCACAGATGCTGAGCCGAGAAAGCAGTATGTACAATTTTTAAAAGTCTTTGGGATTTGAATTCAAGCGCCCTCCTGGTTACAAAGCGAACACTCTACCCGATTGAGCTATTGCACGGGTTAGACAGGTTACACTGACCAAAACTTACATTGAGGTAAAAGCTTCCAGTACAGAGTTAGGCAGTCACTACATTTCCCATTTTAAAGGTCACATTTCCCTTACACAATACAATCACTAGTACTGATAGTCTGGGCGTCATTCTTATAAATCCCACGCAAGATTTTCAGCAAAAGTTTTTTTTTTCTTTGTACTAGCGGCTTCGCTTCTAAGACCGACAAAAATCTACAAAGGAGCACAGACCGTTTCAACTTGGTCTTCATTTGTCGACATTTCCAAAGCGTTCATCTTTCTCATCTACGTTTGTTTGGTCAAAGCTGGCGTGTTGTAGACATGCTGTAAACGGATTTCCTATCCAGAGAGGCTAAAGCCTCAGTACAATACGAAATAGTTCAAATGGCTTTAAAATTCTTTGATTCCGAGATAAAGGAGATAAACATCCAAGCAGATGACACTAGACAACTTTCACACGCATGCACTCAAACTTTCTGTAAGTCAATACAAAGTACAATGCAATATTTTGATTGAAAAAAAATCCACGAAATCTTAAGTTTATCTCACGTGGGCGACAAAGTGAAAGAACTTGGGCGTTATTCTCTGAACTGTTCGGATCAAACCGGGACGACAGGCACGGGGGTACACAAGAAGTATTGATGTGCGAATGGTAATGCATTAAACATGTGCTGAAAGGACTAAGAAATCTTATCCGGCATAAATTCGTCTCTGCCTTGACTACACTCTTGAAATCAGACGAATACGAGTGTAAGAAAGGGAGTATTGACGTGGTAGTTTCCTTTGTTCGTATGACACCAACTGCAAAATAATGTTAGCCGCACAAAATTATATATTAGAAACAAAAAGATTCTAACTGTATGTGTCTTCTGGGATGGGAGGATTGTTACTCACGCGAGGTCTCATGTATTTTTAAATGTCTTGTAAAATATTTTTCTTTCATTGTAAAAGTGGCTGCGAGAATATAAGTTGTACCTAACTTGAGTTCGCAGTCACTTAGTCCATGTCTTTTCATTTGTAATTCTCATTGAGTTTCTGAATAAAAAAAAGAAAAAAAAAAGAAAGGGATTATAAACGTCGGGAAATCAAACAGGCAAGGGAATCGGCGACAACCTGTTTGATGTAAGGGGCAGAAAAACTACCCTGTAATCGCGTCTACCCCAGAACCACCTGTAGCTGTCGTATCGTCAACATTAACAACAACTCTTCAGAATCATGGCAGACGACTTCGCAGCCAACTCTGTACCAGGCGTCAGGCCAGACGATTTGTCAAGAGGCAACATGCTGCCAGCAATTCAGAACGTGGGAACTGCGAAGAGTATCTTCAGGTTCCCTGACAGTGATGGCAACGACTGCATCCAGCCATATGCTATTAAATATCAAGATGGCGGTGATGATGATCACGATGACAAGTCTACAAAACATGATAACAACACCTGCATCCAACCGTACGCCGTCGCATATCAAGAGAAAGATAATAATTACGCTGAAAAATCATCAACATTTCAGACCAGCCCTACTGATGGTGAGGTTCAACCATACGCTGTTGCATACCTACACGAGAATGTTGCTTTGGGGTTGGGAGAAGCTAAAACAGATGAATCCTTTCAGAG